CCTATAAATACTTGGCAGTGATCCTGTTTTGTACAGCATGTTCTATCACAGTTTCTGTGTTTAAAGAACTAATTGAATCTTCATATAATGAACCTTGGTTTTGTGATCCTTTTCAGGGTGCCTGCCTTTGTTACTGCATTGGTGTCTGCTACTACCTGTCACCAGCTTTGCAGAATTGGTGCTGTCACCAGAAGTGTGTCCCGAGGCAGCAGCGAGGGACTGCTGCACAGGAGGGGCCGGCAGAGCAGAATACCACGGAAAAACCAAATGATTGTCAGAAAAGGCAATCAGCTTAATCTTTTTCCAGTATGTTGGGGATTAGGAGAAAAGAAGAAAAATGATTAGGATAGAGGAAAACGAAGGAGGGAGGAAAAGACGTGGAGAGGGAAGTGGAGCATGGTCCTTATATTCTTGAACTACAGCTCCCATATGGCACAACTACAGTAACCCCAAAATAATGGAAATATTTTCTTTTAATTTCTCCTTTAAAGCAGGTATTTTAATGAAGCATTTCTTGTACCAAAAAGTCCCCCACTTTTATACCAAATGTAATTTTGATAGAAATTATTTGAGCTAGTTCCTCTTAGAAATACTAAACACCTCCAAATGACAAGATTACAAAGCACCTAAAAAATCAATAAGAATCTCACTACTGCTACTAAAGATGTGTTAAAAAAAAAAAAAGTGAAAAGTATTGCATGACCTATGATCAGACCCAGGCTGTCAGCACCAGGTCAGGAACTTTTGTTTAATTACTTTACTCATCACCTACTACGATGATCCTTCCATGTGCAAGTCCCATGGATCTGTGTCTCCAGTTTACAGCCTTCCTTGGGCAATATTTAGCAATTGAAATCTTTCAATAGAGAAATAAGCCAACAAAGTTACTCTTCAGAAAATACAGCTGAAAAAATGTAAATAGAGAAATTTGAATAAGTAGAATTCATTAACTGAGTTCACTGATAAAAATATTTGTGGCTTTTCTTTCAAAGTCAAGGCTGCTTGGTACAATAGGAGTATTTCTATTGGGTAGTCAGCCACTACTACTTGAAATCTTGCACTGCCTAACTCTCCTCAAGGTAGGCACACACGTTACGGTCACTATATTGCAATAGCATGTTGGCAGCTTGTCTTTGCTAACAGTAAAACCATTATTGCTATCAAGAGTGCAGCAACAGCATTAGTTACAATATGGGAGGCTGCACAATTAGAAAGTTTAGAACTGACAAACCCAAAGGTTCACAACAGCAATCTCAGCTGAGCTGAAGAGTGGTCAGAGTGAAACAGTTCTTGGTGCTAATTTAAAGTCAAATCCTTCACATGGGGTTTTGCTGTTTATAGTTGAGAATTAAACTGCAATGGAGTTCACTGTAGTGCCAATAAAGTCTCCTTGTG